AGCTGCTCCATCATTTTTTCCAGGGATTCCGGTTGAATCTGGAAGTTGAGTCTCCCAACTGAAGTCTGTGAAGAAAAATAAAACTTTTTTGTCATTTCAGCTGAACGATATGTTTTTCCTTCTAATTTCCTTCTGCCCCTTTTCCTTCCAATAAACTTTTTCCCTGTGTAGAACTGGACAGAGACTCTTCCATGTCTAGAGTCATCTCTCTCGTAGCCTTCAGGTAGAGCTCACCTGGTGATAGTTTTAGAACCAAGATGGTGTCATTGGTGATGTTCCTGTGCACGACTCTAGCATGGTCTTTAAGTCATTTTGGTAGATGGAGTGAAAACAGACATTTTTTCACTGTTGTATCAAATAACACTATAAAAATGTTTAGAAATCGTAATAATTAGTAATAGTGGATACATGTCACTTATTTCAAATTCTATAAATATTTGAGTGCATTATGCTAAGAATACTCTGAAGTTTGAGCATGCTTTATTTCCCAATCATCCATAAGCAATATGAATTATGAATTTTTTTAATTTTGGACTTAGCAATTTTTTTAACTTGTCTCATTCCAATGAATTTGTTCTCTCATGTCAAGACAACAATTTGACATGATATCACATCAAGTCAACATTGTTTTTCACCTATAGACCCTGCATAACATGTATGTCAGGTATATTCTGTCTGAGCCTTGGCACCACGGGGACCTGCTAATGAGCTGTAAATGGGATGCACTGTAATTAAGGACAGAGTCCAAGCAGAGCCAGTATATCCGAATTTTCTTTATTGCTTTTAGTGGTGGGTGATCACAGAAGCTGGATTTTTTTTTTCTGGATTGATGTATGTAAAACTTGAGTATGCTCAAGAAATAACATCATGTAATAGAATTTAGAACTTTTACTAGAATTTCGTTATTGTTCTTTACACACTTCAGCATGTTGATGACTGTTATTGCTGCCTTTAGCTGAAGGTCTTCGGTGTGACTTGTGTGCCATGAACAGTAGGAATTTATGGGGACGGGGGAAGAGCTGGGTACAGCTCTTTGAACCAAAGGTGGGGAGGCTGGGGAGCACCAGCTCCACCGGGCAGTTACATGTCTATGAGCTTTACTTTTTCTCTCTGGCAGTTTAATCTTTAGCTGCTAGAGGTCCCTCAAGAGCCTGAGCAGGCTGTGAAATCAGAGATGTCTGCATTTTCCTCTGACTAGAAAAAGGAAGAAACGGGAGATAAGGCTAAAATAACTTCTAATGAATGGGAGCTCAGACAACAAGTTTAGGTTGGAGGAAGCAGTAGTAGTTGGCTTACTCCTAGAGTATTTTAAGACATCAGTCTGCATCTAGTATAATTTACTTGCTAACTCGCAGCCACCGGGGTCGTCCCTAACACTTGGCTCTCGGCTGAACTCTCACGAATGCTGACAGAGGTGCAACAAATTATAGACTTGTTTTTACAGACATTGTTCTTCAAAGTTCGTACAATTGTTTCATTATATATATACTTTTTTTAATTTCACCTGGAGAAGTCCTAGCAGTGGTGCTGCTGAATGCAAAAGCATTCATGCAGTTCTTCATCAGGAGCACTCAGGAACATCAGGATGGATGTTTTCCACCACTGACTTCATCAGAAGGTTTCGTTTCACTCTGTTCAGCAAATATTTGAGACAGTGAACGAATGTTTTCAGCCTTTTTGAAATTAAAGTGAAATTAAGCAGCTGGTTGTTGTTTCTTCTCATTTCAGCTCATGGTGACTATTTCCTTGACAGAATCCCCTGTCTGCACACTGACCCAGGGGGATTTGCATGTACACATTGAGACTTTAGCACCAAATGAATTCTACCCTTCAAGCCTCACATGAGTCACAGCAGTATTGTTTTCCATACAGAGGTGGACGTTTTAAGGAGCTGGTGCTGCTGTTTGCAAAACACACTTACTTCTGCCATAGCCATAAACTAATGAAGGTGTTTTTCTTTAGGAAATTCAACAAGAAACTGATATCCCTGAAAGAGAACTGGTTAGAGCCCTACAGTCCCTTGCCTGTGGCAAGCCAACACAACGTGTTCTCACAAAAGAGCCCAAATCAAAAGAAATAGAAAATGGTCATATATTTACAGTGAATGATCAGTTCACATCTAAACTACACAGAGTCAAGATTCAGACGGGTAAGTGAGCTTCCTGTTCTCCTGCCTTGCTGTCCCAAAACTGCCTTAAAATGTCCAATCAGCTTTTACGGAATCAGTGTCCATGCAAGTAAAAGGAAGAAAGTAATGGGTTGTTTATTTTTCACTGATGATTGGTTGTATCAAAATGAAAATTTAAATACTGAGGAAAGTATGGAAATCACAGTTAAGACTCTTACTTCACAGAGTTTGTAATTATCTGGTAACAGGATATGAATAAAATTACTAAAATTAAAAATATGCTACTGACCAGTTCAGAAGTAGTAAAAATGACTCTGAAGTTGCTGTGCTGCTGGGAAGTTGAGTGGTGTTCTGAGTCCTCTGATCAGGGCCCAATTCCTCCCTGCCATAAGGAAAAGAAATCATGGGATGACTGTTGGAGCTTGAGTGGAATTCTGCTTTTTTTCCACTCCACAGATGTCTGTGAATGGGGGATATGGTTTGGGGTTCAAGACAGCTTTAAAGCAAACTAGACACTTGTAATTTTGTTTGTGCCTCACACAGGAGACTTCTTCTGTGTATCTCTTGAAAATGGATAAGTACTTGGGGGTTTGGAGCGAAGAAGGGCAGAGGGGAAAGTGGCCTGGAAGTGTGGGAGGAGGACTGGGGTGAAAGGGTAGGAAAAGCTGGACATCAGGACTGAAATAAAGCATAAACAGAGGAGGGGAAGAGAATACAAAGAGTATAGTTGAGTCTGAGAGGATAAAGGTGGGCTCTTTCTTCTAAGTGAACTTCTAAAGTCTTTAGTCAGCTTGTGAAGTAAATTTTCAATCCTGTTTCTATTTTAATGGATTATTTGCTGTATTAAAGAGAGAATATTTAATGGGAACATGAGGATTGCTGGTGCCTGTAGGTAGATTTGAGTACTGTTCAAATTTTAAGATAACAATAATTAAATAACAGGTTGTTACCTTGTCAGTTGCTATCAAAATATGTCAGAAAGTGTTAATATGTTCTTGTGGCTGCTTTTCACCAAAAAAAAAACACATCAAGTTTGAGAATGTCAAAACTCAGGAAAATATAACTAGATGAAATGAATAGTGAATCTAACACACAATGAAATACATTTCAATTTTGCTAACATACTTCCCACTTTCTTTTCTTTCAGTTGCTGCCAAACAAGGAGAATCTGATCCAGAAAGGAAAGAAACAAGGCAGAAAGTAGATGATGACAGAAAACATGAGATAGAAGCTGCTATAGTTCGGATAATGAAATCTAGGAAGAAGATGCAGCACAACGTGCTAGTAGCAGAGGTATCCTGGGACACAGTTCTGATCGGGGCTCGGGAGCTCGCTTCTGCTTTTCCTGTTAATCCATGGAATTCACACAGCTCTCACTGCTGTGATTCTGAAAGGCTTTTGAGAGATGCTCTCTTTAATCCATCTGGGTTTGGGGTTTTTTCTCCTTGCCTATCTAAAGATATCTAAATCCTCACCTTTCAGTTCAGAATGTACTCATGGATACATCTGATTCCCTCCTCCTTTCAGTGCTATTGTGATATTATCAAATTCCTTGAAATACCAGTCAGCAGCAAAAACCACTGTACTTAACATGAATTATTTTCTACTTCCATCTTGCTGCTGACTGTTGGGTCCAGGCTCAAGAGATTTGATCTCCTAGAGAGGAGGAGTTGCTCGGCTCAGACAGTTTCAAAAATAGTAGACATTTTGTGCTCTTGAACTTGAATGTAGGGCTGTGGAATTGCGAGGAGGATTCTCAGGTGGTGACCTCTGTAAGGGCGGTCAGAATCATACCTAAAAATGAGCAAGTGACCGACGACAGGGAGAAAACTGTCAGAAGTTTGCTTCTTATGCTTCATGTTGGCAGCCAGCCCTGTCTAAATGTATTTACATGATGATTTCTGATCATTCTACCATCCTGCTTGCCCTGCGATCTTACGTTATGGGTTTTATCTTCTGTTCTAGGTAACTCAGCAGCTGAAGGCCCGATTCCTACCAAGTCCAGTTGTTATTAAAAAACGTATTGAAGGACTTATTGAGAGAGAGTATTTGGCACGAACACCTGAGGACCGCAAAGTGTACACTTACGTAGCATAAAATGCGCTCAGAAAGTTTGATTTACTCTTGGACTGTACTCTTCGCATGAACTGGGAAGTTCTTTTAAATCATTAATATTAAGACGACCATCTCTTCTATTAAATTACAATACATGTTCTAGACCATTCAGATCAAGCCTTTTACTCCTTTTGAGAGTTTTCAACATCAATTGATTGAGCTTCAGGCTTTTCAACGTTATCCCTGTAGAGATCATCCTTACAATTCTTCGGGAAAATGTGAATGTGCCGCGTTTGTTTTCAATACTGTATGAAAACAGGAAAAGGAAAAAAAAAATAAAAACAAATTTAGAAAATACAGCTCATTTAAAAAAATAAAATTGTTGGAATTTCATTTCCCCAGATCTTCAGTGTTGATGTAACTGTGTTTCTGTAGTGTTGCTTAGCACCGCGCATTGTATGAGTTGGGTTTAAAGAAACCACAACCGGTAAGGCAAAATTCCCAGTTATATTGCTCTGCTTCAAATGTTTCTTTAACTAGCCATGTTTAATTTAAATATTTGGTAATTTTTTGAAGACCTAAGAAGACAACTTGAGCGGGTTTCGCTCTTCCAGCCGCACTCACTGTTCCAACAACATGAATTGGGAACTTCTGGGGGATCAGAGAAGACCATAATAATTTTGACTTTCCCTTCTGTAATTTGAGTTCTTCTAAATTTAAACTCTATATTGATTAGGTTTGTTCTGGTTTCTTCATAGGAAAAAGGAAAAGATTTTAGTGTGTATAAACTGTATAATAATTTTTGCTGTTGTACTCACTGCTGATGGTGGATTGTACAGGGCGATGTTTTTATTTCACTAAATGTAGACAAAATAAATTTAAAATAAATGGATTTAGTGTACACAAGCAACTAAGTCAAGTGTGTCAGAGTACAGGGCTGACAATCTTTTGGAACGAAGTACTCTCCCCTGGGGAAAACGTGCTGGGATTAGATTTTTGTTTATAAAGGCCATGGATGGACCTGGAGCCCCAGGGCTTCCCATCCTAAGTGGGTATTGCAGGAGATTCAGGTGAGGCCAGTGTGCACTACTTGATTTTGAAAATTCATTTTAAACATCCAATAAAAAACAGTTACTGCAGCGAGATTTTTAGTTCTTACCCTGGAACTTTTTTCTTCTTGTCAGTACGCTGCAAAAATAGATGAAAAATCACAGTTTAGTGGCATGGTTAGAAACTGTTTGAGGTGTGCATTGTGCTGCAGAGCTGTTACTCCACAGTATTTCTGACATTCTGGTGCACATAGTACACGGTTTCTCTGCCGTAGCTGTTTTTCTGGTTTAATTAAACTTCTTTTTTTCCTCCTTGGTTCACATTATTGAGATGGTCATCCAGAGATCCTGAAGCACACAGCTGGACTGGGCTTCCCAGGTACAGAGCTGGAGCTGAAGCAGGAAGAGGAAGGTGATGTTGAGCCTTGAGACTCGGCCGGAGTGTTTCTGGATGAGCTGTGTTAAAAACATGTTGGGGGGGGGTGTCATGTAGTAGTGAGACTCAGGGGCATTTCTCATAAGGTGTCCCCATCTCCACCCCTCTCCAGCCTGTGAAGGTACAAATCCCAACTGTTGTTCAGTAGTTGGCTGTTTCACCCAAAGAGAGGGACTGGAACAGGGGTGGTATTTTAGCTTGCCTATTCTGAAGCTTTTTTTGAAGCTTTTTAAACTTAAGTTTACTGCGCGCCACACCACAGGTCGGTCTGAAATCAGAGAGACTTCCCTGATCCTGTTCATCAAGAATTCAGCCCCAAAAAGGGAACAGCCAGGCCACAGAAACTCTAAAAATGAGTTTATGAAATCAGTTTCATTTGCTTGGCCGTGGAACAACAGTAAATGCAGGCTGGGTGAGATCTGGGCTTTGGACTGGCTTGAGCCATCAGAGGTCTCTTCCTCAAAGGGCAACTCACTCTTCCAGGTGTCAGGGTGGAGGGTTTTGATGATGCATTTCTGTCACGGCTTGACTGCTGTGATAACTGCCTGGCGATGCGTTCCCGTGTGCTTTTTGGGGGCCAAGGGGTTCAGGTGCCGCTGCGCATCAGCCCACGCGTCCTGCCTCTGGTGGCCTCTGGAGGGGCCGAGCCTCAACGCCCCACGACTGACTCTAATTCCTTGTGGAAGGTGTGTTCTTACAAGCTGTGTGGCCGAGACTACCAGGTGACGATGGCTCTCCAGTGACAAATTTACTAAGAGTATAGTTTCCATTTTAAATGTGATAGAATTTTGAAGACATGATTCAGGAAGGGGCTTTTGCCCAAGTCACCTTTGGAAACCCCTTACCATTGAGCACCAAGATGGTGATACTGACGATTTAAAGATGGAGAAGGTGAGAACCAGACATCCCCAGGGCTCTGCTTAAGGTGAGTTTGATGTTTGTGCCTTTACACTGTTTGTGCCCGTGGGTGAGATTTCTTTTAGAGGCTGTATGTAGCAGAACTCTGCTGTGCCTTACCTAGTTTCATTTTGGCTTCCTTTCTTAATTTCCACTTGAAACTTCTTTGCCATTTCATTAAGATGTCATCAGCAGGGCTGTGCTTACATGTATGAGTGTAATTATCACTAAGCTTGGTTTCTTTCCATTAATTTGCAGTTAAATGCAGTAACAAGAAAAACATGGAGTTCAATTTTTTTGTTTTATTTTAAGAACTCCAAGTAGAGTTTGAGTTTTGTAGTGATTTGAAGATCCATAGGCATGTACTTGTAGGCAAGTTTATTTTCAAGGGTTGAGGGTACAGGGGTTTTTTGTACGCGAAGGAGGTCTTGTCAATGTGGTGTGACTGTAACTAACCCGGCAGCACCTCCCTGGGTCTCCAGGCAGCCTGATGTAGTGTGCCTGCTCTCACCAGCTGCTCAGCCTGAGGACAGGAGGTGTGTTGCTGTTCAGGAGAGACCGGATGGTTCCACCTCAAGTCCTGGAACTGCTGACCTGGCTTAGCTGTGGACCATCATAGAACCATAGAATGGTTTGGGTTGGAATGTTGGTGGATAGCCCTTAGCAGTCCTGGGGGAGGAGAAAATCACAATGTCAAGTCCTGAAGTCCTCAAAGTGAAGCCACGTGAGAGCCTTGGAGTGCCTTGCTATGGCCTTTGGGCGCACGAGCAGCCTTTTCTTTGCAGCTTGGTAGAGCCTGCCTCCAACCCCAGTGAGGCCCAATGAGTTCCCCAGACCTCATGAGCCACCTCTGTTCATGCTTGTTCCATGCTTGGATGCTGCTGCTTTGGAAACGCTGTTCAAGATGGGGCTAATGATCCCCTGCAGCTTGGCTCTCACAGCCTTTGTTACCAGCCCTGTTACACAAACCCCCAATTCCAACAGAACGCGGGATCCAGGCCAAGGGTGAGGGGGGGTTTAATTAGAATTTGGGATGTATTATACTGTATCTCAGGAGAGCTGTCCTCGGGGAAGAGAATAATTAGAAGCCTTCAGACCACGTAGGTCTCTCTTGTTGCCTAAGCTGGAGCTTGGGCTGGTCGGCGGGCTCAGCATCTCCTGGTGACTGGCTCTTGTTAACGCTCCGTGGGGTGCAGCTTGTCTCTGGTCTGCTGCTGGCCTTCTAAGAATTTTGCCTTGAGGTGTCTTCAACGATGCTGAATGTGAGCTGATTTAATCACTGCTTCTCTGAGCCCCACGAGGCTCCCGTTTGTTCAGATGTGTCTGTTTCCTTTTGTTTTGGAAGGTTTTTAATTGAAGTGCAGTTTAAGGTGGGATGCCTGCAGCCAGGCAAGGACAGGCAGCATCTCTCCATTGCTAATAAGAGGCTATAAAGGGCAAAATGTGTTTCACAGCTTTATGGGGTGTGAAGCGTGTACCCATTGCTGCCAACGCTGAGGCCTGAACCACATAGGAGCTTCTGCAAAGAAACTTGTGAATCTTTAGTTCCATGTGTGTATTTGGAAGGCTTTCTGCTTTCCCCTGTGTTCAAAGTGCTTGAATTTGAGCCATCTGAGTGACTAGAGCTGGCCTTAAAATTATAAAGTCATAAAATGGTTTTGCTTTCAAGAGACCTGTAAGATCATTGATCCCAACTTTGCCCTAGCACTGCCAGGTCCCAAATAAACCCTGTCCCTCAGCACCACACCTCCACAGCTTGGAAACCCCTCCAGGGGTGGGACTCCACCACTGCCCTGGGCAGCCTGGCACAGGCCTGGAGAACACTTTCCATGAAGAAGTTTTTCTTCATGTCCAACATAAACCTCCCTTGGCACAATCTGAGGGTGTTTCCTCTTGTCCTTTCACTTGTTTCTTAAGGAAAGAACCTGACTCCTTCAGAGTTCAATCAGGTACCAATGGCAAAAGCTGAATTGCCTCAGGCTACGGCAGTTTTCACGTGGGCTTTGGCAGGGTCATGGCTTGGTCTGTTGCCAGTGATGTCCCTTGTCTAGGTGTCTGTGCTGCTCCCCCAGCCTTGCACTTGCACCAAAGCTCGTGTTGCTTACGGGTAACTTCTTTGCTTTCCTCTCCTAAAGGCAGTCACTAAGTGCCAGGAACAGGCAGCCTGATCCTGGCCGTGCCCCCGCCAGTGTGGGTCCCTGTTCCCACCCACTGCAGCTGGCTGTCAGGAGGAACCTCCCTCACCTTCTCTTGCTCTTTGTCTCCCGTGGGTCTGGGACCTCCACCTTGCCTGTGCATCTCCGGGCGCTTTCCCACGGCCGCAGTCCCATCAGTGGCCAAGCTCAGCCCTCCTGGCAGCTCTGTGAGGTCAGGCTGCCTGCAGCAGCTCCCTGGCCACCTCCTCTTCAAACTAGACTTCTTTTCTTTTATTTGCTTACTTTTTTTCCCCTTTCTTCTCTGTGCTTGGCTCCTGATTCACAGTGTGCATTGGGAGCTCTGTGTTTTCTGTGTCTGCTGACAGAGCCTTGCTGGATTCCTGTTCTTTGTTAGTTGGTTAAAAAGAAGGAACCAGGATCATCTGGGAGAGAAGTTTATTTAAATATATGCAGTAGGTTAGATGTTTTTTTTTTTTCTCTTTTGGTGATTGGGGTTTTACTTTCCTCCTAAGTGCTGATGAATTGGAGTCACAAAGCTTGGAGCAAGAGAGAAACTTTGAAAGCTTGTTGTATTCGACTAAGACCTTAATCCTGGGTTTTGTTTCTCTGCTGTCTACATTGTAGATAATTGTCATCTAGGAGTTTAATTCAGTATTTTTCCCTTGTTATAGGCAGAGCTTGAGATTGGCGTAAACAAAAAAAAAAAATAAAAAGCTCTTTGTGAAGTTAGTAAGCCCAAGACCTGGCGTGTATCTAATGAGACCTGCTCCCGAAATGTGACGTGATTCACACCTTAATTAATTACCTGCTACTTTCCAAAGCTTAAATCCTTACAGATGTTACTATGAGTTTAGTCTATCTGGTGAAGCATCATCAGTCTTGCTGGTGTCAGCTGGAGCGAAGGGCTCCGAGCACCGCAGAGGACGAGGCACATCTTAAGAATTCATTATGAAAAGGAATTTTTAATTATTTGGCTGTGCCTTTCCAGCGGAAGACTTTAAACATGTAGCAGGGAGGATTCTCTGGGACTTCACACAATGAAGTGTTCATTAGTTATGTTGGGTTTTTGTTTTATGCAGGGCTCCTTAGTGTATATGGTGGTGGTGGATGGAAAAACTCATCTCTGACCTCCTTTTGCTCAAAGCTGGACTAGCCCAGGCCCTGCTCTGCCTTCTGCTGTGCTGCCAGGGACAGCTACGGGGGAGTGGGGCTCCAACTGATATCTTTTTTTTTTTTTAGTTATATCAGAATTATTTCCCCTTCCCCCTCTCCTGAGCAGCATGACTGCTCCCATAAGGTTGAGCTGTGTTTTTTTTTCTAATCTCTTAAAGAAATCTTTCTTGGCACGTTCAGTAGGTCACAGTGAATAATGTGCTTTTCTGTTTGGCAGCCGGGCTGGAAAGCTGTGGGGGGAGTGGAGAGGAAGGCAAGGACTCATTCTGCTCAGGGATCAGAGGATAACCAGCACTTTACTTTTCTGACAATATCCAGCACTTTGTTCTGGTGGCAGTCATCCCGTCCCACCCGAGCCCACCTCGGTGCCTCTGAGAAAAGCAGTGGATGGGGAGGTCTGACCTCACGTGCTGCAGCAGGGAGGGTCATGGCAGCCTGGCTTTACCCCAGGGCTAAGAGGAGCAATAGACTGGAGACAAAGCTGAGGGGGAGAATACCCTTGTCTGAGGCTGGGGAGCCCAGGACTGAGCCCCTCCCCACGGACATTTTGATGTCAAAGCAACGTGGCAGAGGAGCAGAGTGCTGCTGAGCTGGGGTGGTGGGCCTGTCCTCTGCAGGAAGGCTTCAGGCAAAGGCTGGGTGAGGTTCATGTCATCTCATCCTCCTCACGGTAGGAGTGGTGGGTGCCCCTGAGCTGGAGCTGCTGGAGAGCTCATGGGTCTGAGAACCAGGCCTGGAACCATTCACCCCCCAGGCAGAGGTCCCAGTGGACACTGCTTCCCACCCCTGCCCAGCAAGCACGCTACTCATGGAGGAAGAGCTGCTGTGGCAGGGTCATGATCTGGCCCCTTTTGTGTGCAGGCTCAGGGGCTTGGCTGTTGTAAAGCCTGGGGATGCTTGCCACAGCCAGCAGCTATGTCAGATCCCAGCTCTGCACTGGAGAGATGCTGGTCACCTTCAGCACCCTCTGCGAGCCACCTGGAAACCAATCTGGCTCCCAGAGGGAGCTGGAAGGAGCTGTGGTGTCTGCATCCTTTCCAACCCCTCTCGTCCTGCCCCACAGCCCTTGCTCTCCACAGCCACTCACGTTACCAGCACCTCATCTTCTCTGCTTGAGTGCTGCAGCCCCTCTGGGAAGGTTCACAGCAGGGCTGGTGCGACGTGAGTGTGTCCTCGGAGGCATTGCAGCATGTCCCTGGACTTGTCACCCAGCCTCCAGCAATCGGGTAAATCCTCCAGGTGTGAGTGTGCTCGGTCACCTTCCCAATCCCCAAAAGCTTCTGCTGTTGCAGTGCCTCATGGCAGGCTTACCCACACGCCTGGAGAAGCGTTTCCTTCCTTGCTTGGGAATGGTGCTGCTGGCTGCAGCTGAGCCCCCACTGCCTTTTGGGAAGGTGCTTTAGCCTAAGGCTGCCCTTTACCCTCCTGATGTCATTCAGAACCTTATCGATCCACAAAGTATCCTGCCGTGGCCAAAAAGCTGCTGCTTCCACCCGACTGCCTGCTCAGCCCCGGGAAGTGTCCCTGGGCTGTCCCACCTCTCTGGGTGCAGGGTGAGGGTTCCTAGCCCCCCGCCCTTTCCTGTTCACTCCTGTCTACCTGCTTTGACTCTTGCCAGCCTCTGCTCGTTTGCCTGACCCTGGTTTGCAGATGACACTAAGCTGGTGGGAGTGTTGATCTGCTTGAGGGACAATCTCTTCTCCAAAGGAACAAGTGATAGGACCAGAGGAAATGGCCTCAAGTTTCGCTAGGGAGGTTTAGGTTGGACATGAAGACAAATATCTTTCCTGAAAGGGTTGTCAATCTTAGAACAGGCTCCCTAGGGAGGTGGTGGAGTCCCCAGCCCTGGGGCGGGTTTCAAAGCTGTGGAGGTGTGGTGCTGAGGGACATGGGTTAGTGGTGACCTGGCAGTGCTGGAGTAATGGTTGGACTGGATGATCTTCAAGGTTTCTTCCAACCAAAAGGATTCTGTGTTTCTGTCTCTGCCCTGCCCAGCAGACTTGCATCCTGCCACAACAGGGACCCTGAAGGGCAGCTTGTTCTTCCAGCTGCAAACCCAGCCCAAATGACCTTCCTCAGTTTCTGTGTTTTCTTGTACAGGCAAAATTCCCCTTTTCCTCACTCTCAGGAAGGCAAATGGCTGCTTGCCCCCACCCTGTGGCAAAGAGTTGATGAATCATTTCCTTTTCCGTATTTTAGGAAAATTCTGCAGTTCAGAGCTCATCTAGAGGGTTTTCATGTTTTGAGCACTTGCACTCTGCTCTTTGCTCTCTTCCTGCAATTGTCCATGGGCTGGATTATTTATCTGCCTCCCAACGGCTGTTACTTGCTCAGAAGTTGCGGGTGGCTTTGCCTCTATCAGTGCTAATGAATTTTTTTTCCTTATTTTCTAGTCAGCCTTTTAATATTTTATTGTGCGCCAGCGTCAGTGCGGTTTGAGGGCATGAATGTGTGTTTTCACCAGCGAGAATGATCTTCCGCATAAAGGAAACTGAGGCATTGCTACTTGGACCCTTTAGACCTTGAAGGTTTTGCTCAGTTGAATTTCAAGCTTGGCAAAGTAAGGAGATGAAGGGACAGCGTGATTTATTGTCAAGGCACTAGAAGAGGTCTGGTAAGAGGTGTATTTTCAGCATTCCTCTTGCAGTCTACACAATAAGCTAAATTAAGTACTGCTGTATAAACCCCAGGAGCAAGAAAAAAAAGCCTTGAGTTTGCTGGAGGGTGCTGATTACATGGGTATCTCAGAAGTTACGAAAAAAGGGGCAGAGAGAGAAAACAGGCAAATAGGGCCCTGGAAGGGTACCCAGATTTCGTGGGCTCTGTGGAATAACCCTGGAGCAGATGTCCAGCTCGGCAGGGAGCTACCTGTGTTGTGAAGGGCGTCGCTAGGAGTTGGGGTTTTTTCCCAAAGCTCCTCTTTCCTGAGGCTGATTCATATCTGCCTTTATTGTTATCTCTTGCATTCACATGGTGGGATTTCTGTCTTTTGTTAGCCCGTTTTCCTTCCTCGTTTTTAATGAGTAGCTTATCGGGGTGCCCAGGAGGGCGTGACTGAGGAGATGAGAGCCTCTGCAGCCGGAGCTGAAGCCAGCCTGACTCCCAGTGAAGCCACGGAGCTGCTCGAGCCTGAGCTCCCCCTCGCCTTTGCTACTGGGGGCCCCGAGACGTGTGCTGGTGTCACCTCATCCTGGAGAAGGGCTGCTCTGTGTCTCCGTGCTCCGTGTCTCCACTGCCCTGTGTGGTGAGGGGTGGAGGCGGGAGGACAGAGGGGCTTCTGGACCCTCTGGTCGCACGTACGCAGTCAGAGTCAGAAGATGAACCTTTGGCAGAGCTCTGCTGGGATGTGAGTGACCTGGGATGGGTCCTGCAGTGCCTTGTCCCTCTTTGTCTGCCTCCTCATGTACACGAACCGGGCGTACCTGCATATTTATTGCAAAGCCTGTAGACGACTGAGTTCATTCTGTCCAAGTCTAGAGTTCACCCCTTGTGTTACTGGGGCTCCGGTAGCAGGAGGAGGAGAGCGAAGGCACCAGTTTGTTTTCTTTCTTTATCAGGAACCTTTGCCATGGGTGACAGAGCAGACTCTCTGATGACCGTGCATCTTCTCACCGATGCAGGACACTCATTGTTTCTGCAGCAGACTCTGGATCAGCTTTTGCAGTGGATCTGCCCAGACCTCTGCCTTTTCCTGGTGTCCGAGAGAGCTACTCCACTGAAATACTATGAGAGACATCGTAAGAGAAGCTGTGGCTTTCCTGGAATATCTGTTCTCCTTTTCCTACACGAGGACCTGGGAGAAGAACGGATTTTCCAGGTCCATGAGCAATTCCAGCGCCCACCCTGGCGGTACCAGTGTGCCCAGATTGCTCACGGGCAAAGCCACCGCTTTGCCCCAGCTCCCCAGGACTTCTACAGCCTGGATGAGCAGATGCCCGTGTGGGGCGTCAGGCGGGTGCACAGCGGCCCCGAAATCCTCCGCGTCACCCTCTACTGCAGTTTCGACAACTACGAGGACGCGGTGAGGCTCTACGAGATGATCCTGCAGGAAGAAGCCACCGTGCAGAAGAGCACCTTCTGTGTCTTCGTGCTGTGCAGAGCCCAGAAGGTCGCCGTGCAGCTCTGCCTGAAGCAGCTGCCCATCGGGGTGGCTGCCGAGCCCCGGGAGTCGGTGGCCTTGCAGTTCAAGGTGCAAGAAATGGGGCAGCTGGTGCCTCTCCTGCCCAACCCCTGTGTTCCCATCAGTAGCACCAGGTGGCAAACGCAAGACTATGAAGGAAATACAATTCTGCTTCAGGTATGTGTCTGTGGTGCCCTGAGAAGAGCATTTTTTTATTATTTGTTTGGTTTTTGTTTCCTAAGGCAAGCAGAATTGGCTCAAAATGGAACTTAAGATTTCATTTGTTCTGTTCTCTTTTAAATTTGTGAATTCAGTAACTGGTACCTGCCGGTGCTGCGGAGAAACCTAAGCACAGAGCCTTGGGATGTTTTTGTGGTGTTAGATGAACATCATTATTGCTTGCCTGGGTTGGAGAGATCACTGCCTTTTTGAGTAGGCTAGTTGAATATCTTCCCTCCCCTGCCTGAATGGAATGATCACAGCAGCTTATTCTTTTTCTGGTACATCATGATATTATAAATGGTTTTGAAAGCAGATTTTTGGCATTCATAACCAGATGCATAGTTACCGTTGATGCATTGCCTGTGATAGATTCTGTGGGCTCCTCAGTGAGCTGCACTTGGGCAAAAGTGCCCAAGTGTTTTGGTTTGGTTTTTCCCCAGGCTTAACATTCCCAGTGTACATGATTGTTCCTTGCAATTATCCTCATTGTCCATTTCTGAGCATTTCCAGCTCCACAATGCTCTGTGTGCTCCAGATATGGGACAGGCACCATGGTCCATCTCTGGGACCAGAGCTGCACCGTCCATAGCAGTGTTCTTCCATTTGGAATAAATTTAAGATTTAATTTGTTCTCTGAGCTGCTGCTAACACGCTGCTGCCTGTCACAGAGATGAGACCCTGGGTCACAGTTAGCTCACAACCCGGGGTTTTGTGTGGAGCTGGGATTGGTTTTCTCCACGTGCATCACATGATCTAGGCTGTTTGCTGTTGTGAGAGTCCTGCGTGGATCTGCGGTGGGGATCTGACTGCAGGTGGCCTCAGCTGGGCAAGAGCATCATCACTTGGTCAAGCTAGAATGACATCATAATGGGGTTCTCTCCAAATTTTCTTCAACAGGTTCGAGACTTCTCCAAGACCCATGAAAAATCTGTTGAGCTTTGCTATCAGCATAATGAAAACCTCCTGCAGGAGTCTGTCCCAGCCCCTCTCCCTGGCAAGCGGGACAGTCCTGGGTGGAGGAGCCAGGAGCTCAGAGCTGTGAAGGGTACAACGAGACCTGACCGAAGCCAAGCCCACGCTCCTGAGCGAGCCAGCG